GGAAGATTGCGTGACTAGCCCAAAGAGCGTCTGCGTATAGCGTAGGAGGCCTATGAGTAGAGTGCAGATCAAAAATTCATCAGAGTAGCTTTGTTACAACATATCGTTCATTAGTTTTCTAGTTTCTTTTCTATCGCGTACAAGCCAGTTCGGTTCTAAGCACCAAGGGCTTAAAACGGGCATTTTACTGAAGGCTTTTATAAATTTTGCCGACAGAATTTCAAGCTGAATAGGACAGATTGTAGCAGCCAGCGTGGCTAAACTCCAGAGTACCCGGTCACTTGTTCACTTGTTAGCATCTCATTGAATAAGAATAGCAACCATTGTTATATACCTCGTTCTTCAAAGCACACCGGCACAGGTAAATAAAGTGGCCGGGTATTCTGAAGTTGCGATGTCTAAAATGTCACAATACCGCTTAGTGATCGGTGACAGTTTACGCTCTTTGGCTGTAATTTTGAAGAGGACGTTGGCTTTCAAAACCTGCACACTCATACGTGTTAAAAGCACACTAATTTATCGCGTGACCGGGTGTTCAAGAATGCGTGACCGTACTTTGTGGTCTGCAAATGTTGATGACAGAGACCAAATTTGCATATATCGTGTGGACCCAGTTAATCACGAAACCTGCAATGATTGATCTTGAAGGCTATAAAGTTTGTGGTCATTAATTTAGTTGGAAAAAGCGTGTCCTTAACTGTCGATGGGAAATATTTATTGTGTCTGCTCGGTGCAATCTGGTCTGCAAATTGTGTTCTTTGTTATCGATAACAGAGAACAAATTTGCATATATCGTGTGCACCCAGTTGATGACCAAACCTGGATTAATCTTGATGGCTATTAAGTTTGTGTTCTTAAATTTGGTTGGAAGAAAGCGTGTTCTTAATCGACAAAGGGAATGTTTGTTGTGTCTGCTCGGTTAATACCAAGCATATTTTGTATGTGTTTGAAAATGTTCATGCAAAATTGTATTAACAGCAATCTTTTACCACCCGTACTTTACTATCAGTCACGCAATTCGAGATTTCACGACATGTTGCTAAAATGTGCGGCTATCATCAAGCGAAAACACTGAATCTTTAGTGCTAAAACGCTTTCCTAATCGATTTGTTGATTG